CCACCTTGCTTCCATCCAGTTCTAACCCTCTTTCTCACTCCTGTACAGATACCTTGGAGGACCACACCCCACTTTACCCATATCTTGGAAACCTCTCTTCCAGACCCAGAAGACACCTTGTACATCGCTGGAAGTTCTACATCTACCTCCTCGGGCAGCAGAGTTGCAGGCTATGCCATCATTAATAATTGTACCATTATTGAAATCAGCCCTCTGCCCCCTGGCACTACCTCACAAAAGGCAGAACTTATAGCTTTAACTAGGGCCTTAATTCTAGCCAAGGATTGGAAGATTAATATATAGATATTCACATGCAGCAATCTGGAAGGAGCGTGGCTTCCTGACCACTAAAGGGACCCCCATTATTAACACCTCACTTATTCTTAAGCTCCTAGAAGCAGCTTCCCTTCTCCAACAGGTAGCCATCATTCACTGCCGGGGACACCAGATGGGTCTGGATGCCATCACAGTCAGCAATTCAAAAGCAGATGGGGAGGCAAAGCTAACAGCCCAGAGATAACTCCAGGGACAACTTCCAGCTCCCTTGCTTCTGGTATTGCCTTCAATTCAACCCTCTTATACCCCACAGGAGCTCAAGGAACTTACCCACCAGGGAGCCTCCCAGGAAGCACAGGGATGGTAGCCCCTAGAAGGATGAGTTATTCTTCCTGAGACACAAGCTAACAGCTTTCTTTCCCAGGTATAACAGGTTGACATTGGATGCAAGCCTCTCTCCCACCTTCTTCTCAAGCCTTTACTCCATTGCCCTACTCCTAACTGCCCAACTAAAGGCTATTACCCAAGTCTCCTCCATTTGTTGCCTTACCTCCTTACAGAGTGGTCTCTGACTGGCTGCATTCCCCACACACCAAGCATGGGGACATACCCCAGGGGAAGACTGGCAGATAGACTTCATTCACATACCCTAATGTAAGTGGCTGAAATACTTTCTAACTATGGTTGATACCTTTTCAGGATGGATTGAGGTCTATCCCACAATGTCAGAGACTGCTGACACTGTTGCCTCTGTCCTTATAAAAGAAATTATTCCTAGGTTTGGCTTACCCAGGTCACTTTAATCTGACAATGGACCTGTTTTCATCTCCAAAGTGACCAACAGGTGGTAGCCTTTTTAAACATCTACTGTGGAATTTCACATTCCTTATAGACCCCAGTCTTCCAAAAAGGTTGAAAGAGCTAATGTGCTCCTCAAAACACAACTTACTAAACTTTCTCTAGAGCTCCAGCAATCCTGGCCAGAACTGTTACCAGTACCTGGCGCTCACCCGCTTATGTGCCTCTCCCCACAGCCCTGCTTTTCTCAGCCCCTTGGAATTAATGTATGGAAGACTTTCTCCTAGGTAACTTTCCTACAGATAATACCAAGACTCCACTAATAGACTACCCTCCTGTCCTAACTTTTCTTAGGCACATTTTATGCCAACATGCTGATCAATGTCTCCGACAGCCTCATCAAGGCCCCTTTCCCACTCCCCCAATTTTGCCCCATGACCAAGTGATTCTCAAGACCTTTAATCCACCTGGTTTAAATCCTAAGTGGACAGGCCCTTACCAGGTTCTGCTGACCACCCCCACGGCAGTCAAGCTCAAGGGGCAGCCACAGTGGATTCATCTGTCAAGAATAAAAAGGGCTCCTGCCCCTTCTATACCAACACTGACTTCAAGGTACACCTGTTCCCCCCCCCCCCCCGGCTTGGGCCTACCAAGGTAAGGCTGTCTTGCATCCCTGAGATCTGTGTGAGTAACACTGAGTCAGCTGCTGTCCACACACCTTTCTACCTCATCTGTTAGGTCACCTCCAAGCCATGGGCATCCAATCTTTTCAGTAATATTTTTCATTTTTGTCCAACCCCTTGTCTCAGGAGACTTCCTCAAGACTTCATCTAAGAGACTTCCCTCAGACTTTATCTAAAGAATCACACCTACCAAGGGACAGCTGCTGCTCGCTGCCTTCTCTGTCTTCTCTTTTACCCCTAGTGTGTGTGTGTGTGTGTGTGTGTGTGTGTGTGTGTGTGTGTGTGTGTGCAGTACTCCCCTATCTTGTTTCCTAATAATCCAGTGATCTCCCTATCCCCAGGGCCTTCATACATATGTTCCACTGGGCACAGTCACCACTTTCTTACTCTATTTGCTAACAAGGTCTCCAGCCAAATTCAACTTTACAAAACATCATTGCACTGGTTATTCTGAAACTTTTGATGCCAAGAGCTACATTCTGATGAAAGAATATTGCAAAGCCGGGCACCAGTGGCTCACAGCTGTAATCCTAGCTACTCAGGAGGCTGAGATCTGAGGATCGCAGTTCAAAGCCAGCCCTGGCAGGAAAGACTGTGAGACTCCTATCTCCAATAAACCACTAGAAAACTGGAAGTGGCACTGTAGCTCAAGTGGTAGAGTGCTCACCTTGAGCTGAAGAGCTGAGGGACAGCGCCCAGGCCCAGAGTTCAAGCCCTATGACCGACCTCCCCCCCCCAAAAAAAAAGAATATTGCGAGATTCATTTCTCTCCCATCAATTCTCTAGGCTAAATAAAGACCCAATGTAGGCCATCGTGGTTTACAAGCAAAATGTAGTACTATGGCTTGAATGTTTGTGTATTTCCAAAATTGGTGTTGGAACCTCATACTCCATGTCATAGTATTAAGAAGTGAGATCTCTGGGGAAATGATTTAAGTCATAAGGCCTTGACTCTTGGGAATAGGATTGATGTCTTTATAGATGAGGTTGAAAGAAATGGCATGGTCTCTTGCACCTCTTCTGCCTTTCAACTCCATGAGGACCCAGTGTTTAAATTATCCAAAAGATGCAGCAATAAGATGCCATCTTGGAAGCAGAATCAGCCCTCATAAGACTGGATCTGCTAATTCCTTGCTTTTAGATTTCCAGCCTTCAGAGCTACAATTAGTTAATTTCTATTATTTATAAGTAACCAGCCTGTGGTATTTTATTATAACAGCAGGTAGCTAATAATAACTGCTTCCTGGGTTTGTCCATCTATGTCTGTAACGCATGTTTTACATAAACAGGAAGTATTCATTTTCACCTCTATTTTTCAGCTGAGTAATCAGATGCTGGATTGATATAATGTCTTACCTTTGCTCTTTTCCCCTGGGGAAGCTGCTCTTTTGATAGGCTTTTCTTAAATCCCACAAGTGTTGCTTTCCCATAGGGGTTGTTTCTGGTAATTTGGATCTATGTCAAGTGACAAAGAATAGGGCCTAATCTCAGGAAAAATAACATTTTCCTAACCCAATTTTTCAGGTACACTATTGGCTATACAGATATCTGCACTTTCTCCTCATAAATGGCCACGTATATTCCACAAGCTGATTGGGCACATTTCTTTCTAATTTGGTTTAGGAGGTGGCTGGAAGGGATGACAGAACGAAAGAGGAAAAAATTGCTATGGGTAGAGGATAGAGAAGGATGCAGCTGCTGTGTGTGGCAAGACAGAACCTTGTTGACATTTAGCAATGACACAGCATATATGTGAGTGCACAGCACCAAATGGGAGGTTTGTTCACAAGAACAAGAAGGACTAATATTGCTTATACTTGTAAAAAGGTAAGTTAGTTAGGCCCCAGGAGCCCTGAAAAGCATCTTGGCTTAGGAAGCTGAAACCAGAACCAAAAGAGACATTGTTACAAAAATATATTGCCTCTGCCCCTCCAGAGATTCTAGTTTCAATAACTGTAGTTTCAATAACCTTCTCATGATCCTGGGGAGAGAATTTTCCTATGGGACCTGTTTAGGAATTAACAACCAAACAGAATGTTATGGGACATAGTAAATAAAGTATTGGTGGAAACACATGACCTTCTTTTGTCAGAAAAAAACAGGCATACAAAAGAGAAAGATCTCATCAAAGCAATTTACTTCTGTATAGAAGGTATATAGCTCACTCTTCTCCCAGCAGTAGGCAGGCACACCTGGCCAGGCGGTCTGTTTGCTTTTTACTCCAACCCAAGCTGTCAGTCCTTCATGTCAAATAGTCAGGCTCCCATTCTCTTTACAACTAGTTACCAAGGTGATGAGGCAATACAAAGTTAGAAAGCACTTAACAGTCAGTGAAAGGCCCGACTATATGTGGGGGTATTGGAAGCAAAGGCTTACATTTTTCTCCTGACAGCTGACTGGGGATGGGGCTAAAAATGGGGAGCAGCTGATGGTTACAGCTGGAGGAGGTTGGTAAAGTCAATGGAAAAGTTCCCATTCAAGGATGACTATAACTCTATTGATTCATAAATCTATGACATGGCTGGCTGGTCACAGGCAACACACCTGGCAGTTTATTCTTTAACTCCATTGACAAAGATTCATACCCCTAGTAGGACTGGCTGGTCACAAACAACATACCTGGAAGTTAAAGAAGTAATTCCAGGAAATATCAGTTCTAGGGAATATCAGTAAACATGGTGACTGGTTACTGAAGGATTGACCTTCCCACCCTGTTATCCTAGGTGCACACAGGTATGCATACCCCAGGTATGCACTAGTGTCTGTATGCACTAACATGCTTGATGTGCAGGCAGGGCAATCTGACCTAAGCCTGGCCATAAACTTTCCACTGTGGGCCTAACCAAAAGTCTCTACCTCACCAACCCTAATAGCCTTTTTGATAATCTCTGTCTCCTTGCTCAGACCCCATAAAAAACTAACTCAAACCCAACCTCCTGCACAATCTATTCCTGCTGGAAGGCTGCGGGGCCTTGCTGCTGGGCCTCAATAAACAGTCCTCGCCTGTCAGGATGGAGAGTCCAACCTGTTCCTTTTTCCTCTTTTTTTCTAACAGCTACAAGATGGAGGCACTTTTGTTTGACAGAAAAGATGGCTTATTCTCACAATATCACCTTTCCAAACAATTAATTAAGAGCAACCAATGAGAACACAGTCTAGGCTATAAAAAGCTCTAGACTCAAAGCCACCTAGACAGAGAACACATTAGGGACACACAAAAAATATAGTTCTACCTGGTATCAATTAATAGTACTGGGTTGGACTATGAGCAATGAAGCCCTATAATAACAGCCAAAGGCTGTTATTCTAATCCCGATTGGAAGTACGGCTCAATGGTAGAGTACCTGCCTAGCAAGCATGAGTTCTGAGTTCAATCCCCAGTACTGGGGGGAAAAATCCCAACAAAATGGTGGCGAATATGGGAATATTTGGAGGAATTTCTTTTCATATTGGGATTTTCAGTAGTATTTCACCTTGCCTTAGAGACAACCTTGGATCCCTGTGAAGAATCCTTTACTCCACTAATGGTTATTATAGAACATTTAACAACTTTCAGGCCCTGAAGATGCAAATGACACAGCGACCCAGTGACCAGCCACATCTACTGCAAGGAGGTAGCAGAGACCCCAGAGAAAACTAAATAACAAAAATGATAAAATGCTGACATGAGATCTTGGGATGAACTTCATGTAGCCCATAGTGTGTAAACATCATGGATGTTCTGCCTTCTATTAATCAGGAACAACATTCTTAAGTTAACTGGAGGAAAGTTCCTCTATTAAAGTAGCACTTGCACTTGGCAACAACTTTGGGTCACAAGTCAGGGCATGAACTCTGGTGAGACTCAAAGGTCTCTTCCTCTTGGGTATCTGAAATCTGTCATCTTAGGGTTGAAGAACAGACTGGTGGAATGATTACTTCTTAAATTTGCTAGTCTTTGGCCAAGGCAACTCTCTGTAAAACTCAAAATATCAGAGGAAAAGGGGTCTATACCCATTGTACAGGGAACAGAGCTCCTACCTCTCTCCTCACACTTTACTTCCAAATCCTTTTATCAATACCCCAGAAACCATCATCTCTACCCTGAAGAAAAGTAATTTCTGGTTGGATTAATTTTGAATGCCCACCCAGACTTGGGGTGTTCCTCTGGCAGGAGTATACCCTATACCAGAAGTATACCCTGATCTGTCATTCCCCTCAAACATAGACCACCTCATTCCACCAAGGAAGAAAGACCTACTTGGACAAAGCCCATCCTGCTGCTGAGGAACTATTTAGAGTTGATTGGAAGAAAATCATTCAGACAAGAGGGGATGTTTTCAGATTCTAAATGAAGTCATCTGTGTCATCCCTTCCAAAAGTAACTAGAGCCCAGAGGCTTTTAGTTGTAAAGAAATGACTCATGCCAGATGCTGATGGCTCACATCACTAGTGACTCAGGAAGCAAAGATCTGGACTTGAGCAAAGTCCTGTTAAGATTCTTACCTCCTATGAACAGAAAAAAGCCAAGAATGGAGGTGTGATTCAACTAGTAGAGCCAGCATTGAGCATAAAAGCTAAGTGAGAGCTCAAGGCCCTAGGTTCAAGTCCCCAATACTGGCACAAAAAAAACCATAAATAAAAAAAACTTTAAGGGCTGGGAAGTTAGCTCAATGGTAGAGCGCTTGCCTCGCATGCATGAGGCCCTGGGTTCAATTCCTCAGCACCACATAAGCAGAAAAAAAGCTGGAAATGGCGCTGTGGCTCAAGTGGTAGGGTACTAGCCTTAAGCTGAAGAGCTGAGGGACAGCACCCAGGCCCAGAGTTCAGCCCCCATGACCGACAAAAAAAAAAAAAAAAAAGTTCATACGTATGGTTACCTGATGCTAAATTCCCTGTCTGTCTACCTTCCAACTGGACAGAAACTTCCACCATTGCCTGCCTTTCTTTTTCTTCCTTCTTTCCTTCCTTCCTTTCTTCCTTCCTTCCTTCCTTTCTTTCTTTCAGTCCGGTCGTGGAGCCTGAACTCTGGGCCTGGGCACTGTCCCTCAGCTCTTCAGCTCAAGGCTAGCTCTACCACTTGAGCCACAGCGCCACTTCCGGCTTTTTTTTTCTTTTTGCTTATGTGGTACTGAGGAATCAAATCTAGGGCCTCATGCATGCGAGGCAAGCACTCTACCACTGAGCCACCTTCCCAGCCCCTTACTCTTGCTTTATTAACCTTTGAACCAGATTTGTTTCTTCTTGCCTCCTGGTCATAAAATTTCAGACAACGCTACAGTGTGGGTTCCATCCTCTACTATCTCACCCTCCAGTGCTTCTCAGTCCTGTGATATTCAATTAGACCCCACAATGTCTCCAGGAACTGCTCTGTGATCCTCTGCCAGGATACCAATAAATACGCAGGGATATCTCTACAAATCTACCCAGCTCAAACAGTTACAACAATACACTCCCTAAAACCAAGATTGACTTCATTGTTCTGTCAGGGGAGGAATGTGGAGGGCAGTTCTTTAAGGAGACATTCATACAGGAAAATATCCAGGACTGGGTGAGATAGGACAGATGAAATACAGAAGTAAAAGCCAGTAAAAGTTTGTGAGACATTTCTGTTCATACCTAATTCAAATCATGCTCCAAGGGAAAAAAAGACAACCAATAAGTAAAGCACAAGGAATAGCCAATCAGAAAAAAATCCAGTTACCCCATAAAAGCTTGTCTCCAATCCTCTTTGGTGCAGCAGCAGCAGCAACACAACAGTACTATGCCACTTTGCCTTGCTGCCTATTGTTTTTCTTTAACAATAATATACTGTTTTTCTCCTATTCTGTCTAGGTAAATTATTTTACTAAACCTACAGTTCCCAAAATGCCACAAGGTCTAAACTGCAGAAACAGGTTCGTATATCACAGTACATCAAGTGGTTTAAAGTTCCTTTAATTTATGGCCATTTCTTTACAACCATCCATGCAGAGACAACTCCCACATATACCTCCCTATAATAAATTACCCTCTGAAAATCTAGTTCTGTAAGAATATCCTCATAACTTTCCATTGGGGCAGATACAGCATTTGGCTTAGCTTGATCAGCCCAATTGTGTGTGCAGGAGGTTCCCCAGCACAGTTATGGAGATGGGATTCCCATAGCTGCTGAAGCTTGTGAGCTGGAAGCAGTGGCTCAGAGTAAGCAGGATGCCATTAAAACGGGGGTCCTGGATGATGGGAGAGACTCTCTAGCAAGGCTCAGAGGGTCTCAGCTTGACCTTGCTTAGACGCAGTTCCTTTAGCTGACTGACACTGGGGCACTGGGACAAATTTATCAAGTCTGATTCTAGAAGCAAGCAATTGGTGAGTGAGAGAATCTTCAAGGAGCTCTTCAAACACCTGAGGAGAGGAGAGACAGAACAATTAGTGATGGGGATTGGTAGTAGGAAGTCGCAGGGGTTGGAGAGGTCCCAAAGGAGAGAACATGGAAAAATCCAAAGTCTTCCTGAAAGTCAGCCTCCAGGAATGCCATATTACAAGACTAAGTAAGATCCTTCCTTCATTTACCATTGCTGTGTGATTGTCAAGCCAATGAACTCTCACTCTTGCTTATCTGCTAGCAATGTAAAACATACACCTCTTAGGTTCTGTGAGCATTAAACAAGACAACAGGACATACTCAGAAGACTCTGAACCCATGTCTCAAATAAAGAAGGGGATTTGTGTATTTTGGTTTCAGAGGAACCAATGAAAATTCTTTCAAATTAACTAATGAAGGAAAATCATTTTTTATAAAAGATAACAAAGAGAAAATACTTTTAATTCAGGCTTCCTTCCAGCCACCCTGTGGCCCAAATCAATACTGGGAAACATTCATAAACTTAAGGAAGGTCAGCAACATCCAAAGGGGGCTGCCAGCCTGTAGTGTCCTGCAAGAACCACAAGGTCCCGTGTTATCAGCAAACTACCTTTCAGTGCGCACAATTCCTCACTCCTACTTCTTCCCTCTCATCTCCACAATCATGCATTTCCCACATACTCCTGGAGCTCCAAGGAAGTCTTTACAGACAGGAAATGTGAAGCAGGTTTAAAGCAGCTCAAGCTGAAAAACTTAATTAGGTGCAGAGCTTATCATCTAAAATTGAATGTTAGATGGGCTCTCCCTTCAATGTCCTCCTCATATAACTATTTGGACATCTTAGCTTAGACTCATTTCCTAAAGAATAATTCCCAGAGCCAATCTCTCCAAGCTCAAATCCCCCATTAAATGGTTTTCTAGAAAGCATTCATCATCACAACAGCATATATTCTAATTTATAACTCTGAATATGGTCCATTCTTCCCAAAATTCATGTTGAAATTGAATTATGAGGTATTAAAGGAGGAACTTTAAGAGATGATTAGGGCTACACTATCAGGTATGGATTACTACCATCATTAATGTATGGGCTGTCTCAAGAGTGAATCCACCATAAAAACTGGTTTGGCTAGATTAATATGCTCACATGACACATGCATATACACACACTCTTTCTAGCTCTCATTCTCTCTAGTTTTTCTTCTTTCGTCCCTTCTCCACTTCCTTCCTTTCTTTTGTGGAGGATGGAGCTTTTTGTAAGAGTCTCATTATATAGCCCAGGCTGGCTTCAAATAAAAGATCCTCCTGCCAAATTTTTTAAATGTTGGATTTTTATAAGTGTCTTTGAGCATACCCAGTCTCTTGCCATGTCACACTGCATTGCTTTAGGACTCTGCCAGCAAGACGGCTATCACAGAATGCAACCCATTTGCCTTGGACCAGAATTGTGAGGCAAAGTAAACTCCATAACATAAAGATTATACCCATTCCATGTTATTACATTTTTGGCAGCAGAAAACAAACTAAGACAACCTCTAATCTTCTTTTGAGTATTTTAGAACAAGACAATTTGTTGCTATCCAGAGACACATTGTGTTTGGCATAATGAACAAAAGCTTGCTCTGGTCTACAGAGCACTTGCCATCCCTCACCTGAGCATGTGGAGCAGGCGGCCTTGAAGAAAGGAGATAGAGTCCAAATGCAGCTCCTGGAGGTGACGGAAACTGAGGAACTGAGTGCTTAATTGGTTGACACACTGCTCCTCCTCTGAGGAAGTACAGGGATATGTCTGGATGTGGGACAGGAGGAGTCTGCGTAAATTACCCATCTGGCCCAGATGAGAAGCGAACTTCCCCAAAGTTGACAGTTTCCAGGTAAAGGTCACTTCCAAATCCTGGACAGAGTCCAGTTGTACCATTTTCAAGATCATCTTAATATTTTGCATAGGCACTACAAAAATTCTCAGCTTTTTACAGCAGAGATATAGTAAACCTTTCCTCTGCTTGACCTTCTCAATGAGGGAGAACAGAAATTCATCATGGCTGCCTTTATTGAAATTCAGGTCTATGAGCACCTGCACAGAAGCCAAAGGCTGTTTTGCACCCATTTTGGAACCACCCACTTTTTGCTTCTTTTTCATGGGCTGAGCAGCCTCTGACAATGAGCACAGATCATTTCTGGTTCCAGCCAATAGAGTGTATAAGTCCTGATGTGTTTTCTGGCGTAAATCTAGCACTTGAAGTTTCCACTGCCTATGGGAGAAACAGGTGATTAACTCAAAGAGCAGAAGTCTCAGAATGAGGCAAAAAAGCCTCATTTTGTGGTTCTGGGGCTTGAACAGGGTCTCACAAGTGGTACATAAGGGCTCTACTGAGATGTTCCCCTAGCCTCTGCTTCTCATACCTTTAATACCACTAGGAGGGAGTGGGCATGTGTTCCTCGTCACCTGAGCACAGCTGGTGGCCCATTCTGAGCCACCAGCATGGACTTCCTTACTAGCAAAGCCACACTGTTCGCCATGCCCCCATCCCAGCAGTGTCTTGTTCAGGGTCCCAGTACTCCCAGGATGCTGGGTCTTCCTCACCTGGGGCGAACCTCTTGAGCAAGGAGTGCATCCAGCCCTCTGAGCACAGCTTGGAAGGTCTCCTGGTGAGGCGGCCATTCCTTCATCAGAGCCCCCAGAGGGAGGCAGGAGAAGGGCCAGGCCTGCACCATTGCCTTCAGGGCCTCACTGTGTCTCCCTGCATAAGCTGCTGTGAACAGAGGTGGGAAGAGCTCCATGGGCAGCTCCTCCAGAGCAGCGATGGCCAAGGCCTCATCCTTCAGCAGGCTCTGTTCAGCCAGCTCCAGAAGTCTTGGTGGATCACACATGGTGTTCTTGATGAATCTGCTCTGAAGTGAATGCTGAAGAAGCATGCAGGGAACAAGCATGAGGGACTGTCTCTTTTACCACCCTTCGAGGGGACCAACTCGGGGCCAAGGTCACTGCTCTGGCAAAGAGCAGGGGAGTCCTCCACTTTACTGTGTGTTCTATTCTTCATGCAGTGACCACAAAATCACAGCTAGCACATCCTTTGCCAGCAAGATGATGAGCATCTGGCTGAGCACAAAAGAGACAAGATGACCATCTCATATGGCATATCCAGGCTGGCCTTGAGCCCTCCATCTTCCCAAGTCCTACATTACACACGTGCTACACCTCACCCAGCCTAAGTCTCCTCTTACTCAGCACCTGTTTGTTCTCGGCTGAGCCTGAGGCCCACGCGTGTGACACCTCTGACTGGTGACACATTACCCTTCTCCCTGCTCCTCGCACTCCTGCTCAGGGACCCTGTGCCCCACTCCCAGCGCCTGCGCAGAGGCCGGGGCACCCGGAAAGACACCCTGACTCCAACCCACACCCAGCCCACAGAGGACAGCACTCTGTCCCATCTAATGGCCTCTTCTCTGAATGATGACATCTAACACCCTGACAGGGGCCACCTTCCCAGAGCTGGGCCCGCGGGAGCGCTTCGCTTCACCCACACTGCCACAGCCCACTTTAGGTGGAAAACTGGGAACTAGGGCGAGGTGAGGACTGGGAGGAAGTCGAGGGTGCTTGAATTTACCGTCTCTTCCCCACCGAGCCTCGCGAGTCCTCCACGACTCAGCAATGGCTGCCGTCGCCCTAGGAACCGCAGGATGACGTGAAACCTCGCGAGATCCTGTGGAGTGGGCGGGAGTCTGGAAGGTGCACAGGGACTGGGAAGTGATACAGGAGGGCTGTGGGGGAAGGGAACAGACACGTGGCCATCCTCATAGTGGATGGAGGTAGGGGTGGGAAGTGTGGGAAGAAAAAGGTCAGGGTAGGAGGCTGAAGGCAGGAGGTGGAGGCTGGGCTAGGGGCAGTAGACGCAAAGATGGGATGGAGGATGGGCGGGAGACAGACAGTGGAGGGCGAAAAGGAGGGAGGGAGCACAGGAGCCTAGGTGGAGATCTGAGGGTAAACGCAGTGGGTGGGCTGAGCAGGGGAAATAGAAGGGGTAGAACAGGGGAGTTGGGTGGCATGGAGGTGGGAGGACTCTACCCCTGGACATCCTAGAGCTGTTTTTAAAAGACGACCCCTTTCACTCCATGGTATTCATGCTTGAGCAGGGGTCCTAGCTCTACCCCATCTTCCTAATATTTACCTCTTCCCTTGGTGTGTCTCATACCCTCTCCTCTCTAGAGGACCTGATTATGTAACTCTAATCCGAAGAAACCCGATTGGATTCAGTTGAATTGTCCTCATTCTACAGTGTGGTTTTCTCAGTCTTCCCTTTTGATGGGTTTTCTAGAGCTCTTCCAAAAGACATACATATTTCTGCCTTAGTTTTTTTTTTTTTAAGCTTTTGGATTAAAAAAGTTGTTGTAAAGGTGATGTAAAGAGGGGTTACAGTAACATGCGTCTGATAACTGTTACCTCATCCCTTGTTTTATTTTTTCCCCCAGTTTTTCCCCTACTTTCATAAATTGTATAGTTTATTTCCAACATAGTGTCTAGTGAGTATCACCGCTGAACTAGTTCACCCTTTGTCCCATCATTTCTGTGCTTCTTCTTACTCTCTCCAAATCAGATAAACTTACATACAAAACAAAAGGTACAGAAACCAAAAGCAGGGACAAAAGGGGAAAAGCAGGAAGGAACACACACACACACAGTAAAAAAAAGGACAACTTCTAATTTCCATTTCTTGGAGTTCATTTCAACAAACATCATTTTATATGATCATATGGACATAGCTATTGAGCCCTTGTAGTCCTCTCCTACGAAAATTCTCCTTTGGACTCACTGTGTGAATGTTTAGAGTCCTTTTTATCATGTCCAAGTGTAATATTTTGTCTGTTACCATCCAGTGTGTTTACTTATAGATTTATAGACACATTCTAGTCACAACAAATGATGGAAACCATGCAACCTATGTTTCTTTGGGTCTGGTTTACTTCACTTATTTTTTCCAAGTCTTTACATTTCCTTATGAATGGGACAATGTTATTGTTTCTAATGGAAGCTTAGATTTACATTTTCTTGATTCATTTATCTATGGAGGGACATCTGGGCTGATTCCATATCTTGGCTATGGTAAATAATACTTCAATGGACATGGTTGTGCTGGTACCTTTAGTGAGGCCTGATTTGTGGTCAGTTGGATAAATGCTCAGGAGTGGGATTGCTGGGTCACAGGGTTGTTGTTTCTTTGAGGGTTTGTTTTAGGGGCATTTCATTTTTGAGCTCTAGGTATCTTTTAGATATGAGGCCCTTGTATGATGCATAGCTAGTAAAAATCTTCTCCCATTCTGTGGGCTTTCTATTTATCTTGCTACCTATGTCCTTTGGCATGCAGAAACCCCAGTGTGAGGCAATCCCATTTATCCAGTGTTTCTTTGATTTGTTGAGATTCTGGATCTTCACTTAGAAAGTTTCCACCCATGCCAAGGAACCCTAGTGTTTCCCCTATCCTTTCTTGTAATTTTTTAAAAAGGAATCTGGTCTTACATTGAAGTCTTTGGTCCATTTGGAATTGATTCTGATGCAGGGTGATATATAAGGATTTAGCTTCAGTTTTCTGGATATGTATAGCCAATTCTGCAAGCACCATTTGTTGAAGAGGTCTTTCTTCCATGCTGTGTTTTTTGCTCCTTTATCATATATTAGGTGTCTATAGGTCTGTGGGTTCATTTCTAGGGTTTCTATTCTATTCCATTGGTCCTCAGGGCTATTCTTGTGCCAGTACCAAGCTGTTTTTTTTTTTTTTATTACTACTCTGTTTTACTTTACTATTCTGTTTTTACTTTGTTACTACTCTGCTCTTCATCTGCTATTTCCTCCTGAATCTAGTGGACTTTAGCTTCCACTTTTCCTAAATTCAAGGCTTCTACTTTTTTATTTTCTAAGTCCATGAGTGTTTTTTAAATGATTTTTAAGGCTTCTTCTTTTACCAGCAAATACCTCTTGATAAGTCTTAACAGAGGAGTGGGGGCCCAGATTATGTAATTTGCTTGACCACCAGGGAGATTTTGCTTCGGGACTAGTAGTTGGTGAGGATGGTGCTGAAATCTCAGGGATAGTTTTCTAGACCTAGCACTTGCTTCCTCCCAGACTCTTGTAGAGGTATGGGAAGTAGAGTCAGGCTTCTGGAGAGATAAGATAGATCCTTCCCTGGTGAGAAGGCGGAGGAGGAATTAGTCATGAAATGGAGGCAATATGCAGTGTCATTTAAGCTTGTACCCAGGAACTCTTTGAGTCTTAAATTTATCTTCCTCACTCATGCCTAGGAAGAATTCAGCCTCCATGAACTTTATTACTCTGGGGGGTATGTGAGGTAGGCTCTGGGACGTTGTCCCTGTGATCCAAATGACCCAAAATGTCAAACACAGATTACAGTGACTCTGGTGGCTGATATAAGCAGGCAGTGTGGTAGGGAATCCATTTACCCTGGATCTGTCCTGCTTTTGCCTCGTTACATCATGCCTATGGACTAGGGGAGTTTTAGATTCCTAGCTAGCAAGAGGAAAGCAGTAAGGAGGGAAGGGAAGAAGGAAGGAAGAAAGGAAGGAAGGGATGAAGGAAAGAAGAAAGGAAGGAAGGAGGGGGGAGAAAAGGAGGGAGGGAAGGGAAGGAAGGAAGAAAGGAAAGAAAAATAGAGAGGAAGGAAATGGAAGAGGGAGAGAGAGAGGGAAGACAGGTACAGTTATTACATTGGGCTTGAAATCGTCACATAAATCAGAAGTTATTAAAATTTTCCATTTAGTGCTGGTGAGGATTCAGGTGAAAAAAAAATCCCTCATACACTGTTGGAGGGAATGTATACTAATGTAGCCTCTGTGATAATCAGTATGGAAGTTCCTCCAAAAACTCAAAATAGACCTTCCATATGACCACAGGTGTGGTCACAGTTCTGGTTTTCCTGGAATCCAGAGAAGTTATCATCAGAGCCATCACTTGAGGGGGTCAGTCTTGGTTTCATGTTGATTATTCCTTCTCCAGGATGCAGCTATATCATTATAGGAAATTGTCCTCATTTAGAGGGTAGACTGTTCATAGGCTCTATTATTCATTCTTTAGGGGTAGTTCCAGACCCTTGTCATAAAAATGTTATTGTCCTGTCTTTCCTGGATTTCCAAGTGATTCCATTGTGAATACATGGCTTAGAACAAGGACAAATACAAAATGAAGGTTAGGATGACAACCTTTTCCCCTGATGCTAGCTAATTTATGCATCCATATAAGTACTCAATGATCTTCAGTAAAAGCAAGGTTTTTGTTTGTTTGTTTGTTTGTTTGTCAGTCATGGGGCTTGAACTCTGGGCCTGAGCACTGTCCCTTAACTCTTCAGCTCAAGGCTAGCTCTACTGTTTGAGCTATAGCACCACTTCCATTTTTTCTGGTTTTTTTTTTCTTTTCTTTAATTGGAGATAAGAGTTTCACAGACTTTCCTGCCCGGGCTGGCTTTGAACCTAGATCCTCAGATCTCAGCCTCTTGAGTAGTTAGGATTACAGGCATGAGCCACCAGCACCTGGCCAGTGAAAGCAGGTTTTAAATAAACACCTGTTACACTCTCCTATGGAATGGAACATGATGTGTATGCTCAAGAACAGTAGCCACTCTCTTCAGGTGCCTTGAGGAGGCCCCAGGGAAGCAGCCAGGCTCTGAACCTATCTGCCACATACTGAAAGCTGAGTACTGAGTCGGTGACAAGCCTGAGAAGGCCTCTTCCACCTAGCCCTCACAGTGGACTGCAACTACCAACATGGGGCACCATGGGGGTAAAGAGCTGAGTTTTGTTGCATTTCAAAATCTGGGAAATTTGAGTTCATAGTAACTAGTATGCTCATAAGATATCTAATATTGTCACCCTGACAACAATAGAAAAAAAGTTCGTATGACCCAGGTCTT